TGGGTGCCTGCTCCACATCCGGCGATGAGCTCACTGAGCTGCTGGCAGGGATCACAGGCACTGAAGTGGTGAGTCCGGGGCAGTGCTATTCCCTGGGCCTCCAGCAGAGGGAAGCAAATACCCCAATCTGGACTGAGCCTCTGATCTGGGCTTCTGAGGCCTTGGCCTGAAAAGCAAGAGCCTTGGCGGGGGTGGGGGGTGGGGGTGGGGGTGGGGTGTAGGACACTGTCCCTGGGTGCCCTCTTCTTGCCAAGTGTGCTGGAGCAGGGGTGAGGGTCTGCTGTCAGATGCACGGCTGCTCTCACACCCTCTTGCCACATCCTCTTGCTGGTTTCTGAGAAATGAAGACCAATTCCCCGGGCTGGGCTGTGGCCTAACCTCCCAACTTCCCTGTTTGCCTGGAGGTGACTTTCCCTGCACCTGCCGCCAGGTGCTGTGGGAGAGTGGTCCCTCCTCACCTCCTGCTCTCCCTCCTCCTCCCCAGGACTGCCTGCGTGCCTGTCAGGAGCAGATTGAAGCTGCACTCAGGGAGAGCCTCAGGGAAGCTTCCCAGACCACCTCCAACCCAGCACCCAAAGCCCCCCGGGGCTCCAGCAGCCAGGGGCCCAGCCAGACCAGCACTCCCACAGATGTCACAGCCATCCACCTGTAGCCCCGGACAGGCCCCCTCGAGTGGCCACCAAGCAGGAGAGGGGCAGCCGCCACCCCCTCCCTGCCTCCAGGAACAATCCATGCCACACCTGAAGCCCGAGGGGGCTCCCATTCCCCCCTCACCAAGCCCAAGGGGTCAGGTCCCACCTCTCCCCGCAGTGTGCACTAAGGGGCCCGGCCAGCCACGTGTCTGGGTGACTGGTCAGCTCCTCTTCCTCCCCAGCTCCTCTTCCTCGCCGGGCGGGCCAGGTTGCTCAGACATTTAAACAGGTAAAAGCTCTGCACCAGCATCCCTCTCTGAGCCCCCCCAACCCCCTCCAGGGGGAGCTCATGTTCTCAACTGCCAAAACGCCCCTGTGCCTTCAAAAGGTGTTGCCCCTTCTAGAGTCACTGCGTTTGGATTGGGGTCCTTCGGGCATTCTGATAGACTGAGGGCCAACAGTGACGGCCCCTCCCAGCACACAATGGAGGTCTCCGTGTAATCTGTGCTCCCAGCTGCTCCTAGGGGGAGCCCCTCCTGCTTCGCTTTCCGCTCAGCTTCTCCTGTGTGATTGAGGGGTTTGGTGCTGAAGGAACAGGTCGTTTTTAATTTATTAATTGTTCTGAGTACAACTGTAAGAGGGTGCAGTGGGGCCTGTGTCCCCCACGAGTGGTGGTGACCCTGGTGGTTGCTGATTGCTTCCCCTCTGCTACTGGCTAGAGAGCTTTGTGGCCCAGGAGCTGCTACAGCCTGGGTTGGGGCCACGTCCTCCTCTCCCTCCGCTCTGTCCTCCAGCGGGGAGGATGAAGTGGGGTTGCCGCAGAGGTGGCTGAGCCCCATCTGGAGAGGGAGGCAAACCCTGTTGACACAGGTCTTTCCTAAGGCCACAAAGTTCAGGCTGGTGGCCCAGGACCATCATGCTACCTTAATAAAAGGATTCTGGAATGAAACTGGCTTTGGCTTCTTGGATGGGATGGTGTTGTGGGTATTACCCAGCCTACACAAGGCAAGGAAGCGGGTGCCAAGTCTGAGGACAAGCTGGGCTCAGCCTTTTCCGTCAAAGGCTGCATAGTAAACATTTAGGCTTTTGTGCCAAAAAGTGTGTGCCCCAAGTACAGTAACTTCCACTTCGTGTGTGCTCCTAAAAACCACTGAGCCACGCAAAACGAACAAAACCCACAGGGCTTCTGGGGGAAGAGGGGCTTGAGGCACAACCTAGCCCTTAATGACACTGTTTAAAGGGGTGGCTGTTGTGGCACAGGTGAAACTGCCACTTGGGACTCCCCCTACCACCACCAAAACTCCCACACTGGAGTACGAGTGCTAGTCCCAGCAGCTCTCTGATCCAGCTTGCTGCTGATGGGCCTGGGAAGGCAGCAGATGATCACCCAATACCAGCACGTGGAGATTTGTTGCTCTGCCTTCCAAATAATCCTAAGAAAAGAACTACAGTCTGCTTGTGTAGGGAGGTGCCAGGAAGATGGCAGCTAGCTTAAGATTTAAAAGGCAGGGCCGGCACTACGGCAAAGTGGGTTAAGGTACCACCTGCAGTTCCGGCATCCCATATGGGCGCAGGTTCAAGTCCTGGCTGTTCCACTTTAGATCCAGCTCTCTGTTAATGCACCTGGGAAAGCAGTGGAAGATGGCCCAAGTGCTCGGGCCCCTGCACACACGTGGGAGACCTGGGTGAAGCTTTTGATTTCGGATTGGCCCAGCTCTGGCCATTGTTGCCATTTGAGGAGTGAAGCAGCAGATGAAAGACCTAACTCTGCCTTTCTAATAAATAAATCTTTAAAAAGATTTGAAAAGCAGAGTTAAGAGATTGTCCATGTACTGGTTCACTCCCCAAATGGCCACAACAGCTGAGGCTGGGCCAGGCTGAAGCCAGAAGCCTGGAATTCCATCTGGGTCTCCCATGTGGGATGTAGGGGCCGAAGCATCAGACTATCTCACAGCTTCCCAGACACATTTGTGAGGAACTGGACTGAAAATGGAGCAGCTGGGACTCAACCCGGTGCTCATGCAGGATGCTGGCACAACAGGCAGCGGCCTAACCCTCTGTGCCTCAGGACTGGCATGCGTTGGCAGAGTTTTCTTCCAAGATGGAGGAGGGTATGGCCCCCAACACAGGAGGTAGCCTGGGCTAGCTGGGACATTAGAGATGTGTTTTGTGTTAATTTTGCGAGGCTCAGCTGGATGCAATTTTTCATATTCACCCAGTATTTCTCAACAATGAACTGATGAACTTGTACCTAACACACGTGTCCATACTGGAGCTGCAGATTAGTGGTGAAATTGAGGCTTACAATGCCAGTACCCCATCTCGGAGTGCCCCGTTTGACTTGTTAGCCTGCTTTCAGTCCAGCCTCCTGCTTGCCGATGCACCCTGGGAGGCAGCAGTTGATGAGTCCCTGACACCCATGCGGGAGACCTGGATGGAGCTCCGGGCTCCTAGTTTTGGCCTGGCGGAGCTCTGGCTGTTGCAGCCATTTACAGGGAACAAACCAACAGATCTAAGATCTCTTTGTGTCACACTGCCTTTCAAATAAAATGAAAATAAATAAAAATTAAAAGGGCAGAAAAAAAATTTCTTTAAAGTTTGCACTACTATCAAATTGTTCTCCAGTGTATTAATGGGGTTGGAGCAAAGACACATTTTTTAAAAGCAAGTAACAAGGTTACAGCAAGATTAAGGAACTTGGTAGAGCAGCCACAGGAAACGTCAGTGGTGGGTGTGGCCAGGTTCCAGCTGAACTTGCTGACAGTGACATTTGAATGTCATGTAATTATCACCTGTCACAAAATACTGCTCCTTAAATCCCCCCTGCAATGATTTAAAAATATAAAAATCAGTCTTAGTTCATAAGCCATACAAAAATACTTTTAGCCCTAGTTTGCCAGCCACTATTTTTCTTTTTCTTTTTTTTTTTTTTTAATTTATCTGAAAGGGGAGCAGTGTCGCTCCCCCTCTTCGTGGAGGAACGACACAGGACCCTGCGCTGTTCTTTCGTCTGCTCGGCCCTCCCCGGGTTTGCTGCTGGTTCTTCCCGGGTTGGCTACTATCCCTTCCACCTCCGTGGAAGGGCAGTTCCCCCTGGCCGCATTCCCCACTTCCGCAGGGGAGCGGCACACCGCCGGCCGGCTTTCTCGGGGGCTGCACGGGTTCCCTTAGATGTTCCCCATAGATGTTCCTGGTGCATGCCGTCTCTCTCCTCCTTTATAGTCCTCCTCCGCCAATCCTAACTCGGCTGCCCACACGCCGAGTACGCTGCTCTCCTCCAATCAGGAGCAAGTCCTACAGTTTATTAGTTGAACTGGAGGCAGCTGTGCGGAAGCTGTTTGCTTCTCTCCCATCGCCATATTGTGGGAGAGCAGATGCATAGAATAAGTCTTAATTCCAGTAACTCAGTCTAGTCCGGTTTGCTCCCCACAGAGCAGTGCTGTGGCGTAGCAGATAAAGCCACTACCTACAATGCGGGCACCCCAAATGGGTGCCAGTTCAAGTCCTGGCTACTCCACTTCCGATGCAGCTCTCTGCTGTGGCCTGGGAAAGCAGCAGCAGATGACCCAAGTGCTGTGGGAGCCCCGGAAGAAGCTCCTGGCTCCTGGGTTCAGATTGGCCCAGCTCTGGCCTTTGTGGCCATTTGGGGAGTGAACCAGCAGATGGAAGATCTCTCTCTGCCTCTGCTTCTCCCTCCTTCTCTGTAACTGTGCCTTTCAAATAAAATATTTTTTTTTAAGATTATTTGAAAGGGCATCAAACAGAGAGAGAGATCTTCAATCCACTGGTTCACTTCAATAGGCACAACAGCCAAGGCTGGGCCAGGCCAAAACCAGGAGCCTGGAACTCCATCCAGGCCTCCCACATGGGTAGCAAGGGCCCATCTTCTGCTGCCTTCCCAGGTACATTGGCTGGGAGCTGGACTGGAAGTGGAGCAGACAGGACTGAAACTGGTATTCCAGTGTGGGATGCTGGTGTCACAATACCAGCCCTTGGCCTAAAGCTTTGATTGGCTTAAAACCTAGGAAGGGAATCTATCTGGTGCTGATCCCACCTCATCTGCAGACCCATCTCCCCTCTGTAGTTGTTCCATCCATGGCCCAGAAACCACTACTTTCTGAACAACCCCATGGCTGGCCTTCTACCCAACTAACTAAACAGTGTCATTCGTTCAAGGGGAAGGCAGAGCATGTGCCCCTGGGGGCTACTGGAGGCACGCAGCCTGGAGAAGCACTTGGGAGGTTAAGGTCGGCTGCTGTGTAAACTGAGTAAAGATCCCACTCCCGAGACAACAACAGGGAAGAGGAAATTCCCACCTCCAGCCACAGAGAAGGAGAAAGACCTTCATCAACTGCAGCAGAACGCAGGTTCAATAAATACCCGTCTTTGTTTTTCCCAGTGACTTGATAAAACAGGCGGAGAAGGTGTGCTTAAACCAAGCCCCAGCTGGGGAGTGGGAATGCTGGGCTGTGGATCACATCAGCTCACCAAGGGAGCAGGGACGAAGGCCTAGAAGAGAGGAGGGAGCCAAACAGACTCTCAGGCCACCCTGCCCGGCCTGGGAGCCACAGATGCCCTGTGACCTTGTCACTGCCCTGGTCTTCAGGCATAAAAAGCTCAGTGTCATCTTCAGTCACCCAGGGGACCTGGTGTCCTCCCATGCCCACTGGACCAGGACAGGTGACCGTCTTCCTCACTCCATGGTGATGGGGACATCTTCTACGTCACGAGGGACTGCACTCTGAAGCTCCCGCCTGATTTCGGGGGAGAGCTGTGGGTGGGGCTGCAGCCGGAGCAGTTCCATGAGGGCTTCTTTCTGTTCTGTGGCCAAATCTGCCTTGTAGCGCTGGACCAATGTCAGCAGGCACTGGTGCCAGAGCACGGGCAGCTCCCGCTTCTCTGTCCGGAACCCCAGGAAGTGGAAGACCAGGGCATCCAGCACGCGGTAGGGCAGTGCGTACTTCTTATCCAGCAGCAGTCGTAGGAAGATGCTGTTGGCACCACTGTATTCCATCTCGGCGATTTTCAGCATGGCCGCGCTGGGGAAGGGGTGGCGTGGTAGGGTTAATCCATGGGGAAACGCTGGAGGAGGGAGCCTGGTTCTCCCCTCTGCTGGCCCTTAACAATGGTGTTCCCAAGGGGGCCATCTCAGGCCTCCTCACCTACCCAACTTCATCCTTTTTTGACTGCAGTTACCACCTCTACCTCTGGCTTAGACACTTGTCCCAGGATCCAACTAGAATGTCCAAACATGCTGACATCTGCACCCCCACCTCACTTCCTCCCTGTGTGCCCTACTCATTCCACTATTTACTGGGCACCTGCCATATGCCAGGTGCTGGGATCCTCTTCTAGTGGAACTTACATTCTAGTGAAGCAATGACACACCCACTGCTTCAACCAGCCACAAATCCACAGCTGTTCTACTCTTTCCTGTCGCTACCCTCTCCCCAAGTCCTGGCCACCCCACTCTGTGCACTGCGCAGTCCTCCTCGAGCCCCACCAACACTACCTGGAGTGCAGCACAGGGATAGAGCACTTGGTGATGATGCTGCCCACGATGATGGCTTCCCGGAGAGTACAAGTGCCTGACTCGCACAGGGGGATCAGGATCCCTGGAGACAGGCAGAGGGTAGTCACTCCCAGCCCAGGGTGAGAGGAAGGTACACCAGGAAACCCCCGCACCAGCCCCAGGGGCCAGCACTAGAGACACCCACTTCCCGCAACAGGTCAGCTTTCACCTGCAGGCGCTCCAGCCCCTCGCTCCTTCCTTGCCTCTGGGTGCCCACCTTTGAACCAGGCTCCAGGCTTGAACAAGGCCTTCTTGAGCGCCATGTACAAATGGAAGTTGAGTCGTTTGTATTCAGCGATGTCATCTCGTATGCGGGGGAGCAGGACGAGGTTGTAGAAGCGCTGGGCCATGCGTTCTTTCAGGTTAGAAGCAAAAATCCTAGTGGGGTGAGGGGAAGTCCCCAAGTCACATGATAGGTCTGGACTTACCCCTTTAAATATCACTGGGTGGAGGCTGCTATTATGGCACAGTGGATTAAGCCACTGCCAGCAATATCTATATCTCATTTGAGGGCCAATTCAAGTCCCAGCTGCTCCCTTTCCGATCCAGCTCCCTGCTGTTGTGCCTGGGAAAACAATGGAAGATGGCTCAAGTGCTTGGGCCCCTTTCATCTATGTGGGGAAACCTGGATGAGTTCCAGGCTCCTTGCTCCAGCCTGGCCCAACCCTGATCATTGAGGCCATCCAGAGAGTGAGCCAACAGATACAACATCAAGCTCTCTCTCTAACTCTGCCTTTCCAATAAAAAGATATTTAAAAATAAACATCATTTGGGGGTCAGGTACTTGGCATAGCAGTTAAGATGCCACATGGGGGCTGGCATTGTGGTACAGGAGGCTAAGACTCTGCTTGGGGCTCCAGCATCCAACATGGACGCCGGGTCATATCCCAGCTGCTCCACTTCCGATCCAGCTCTCTGCTGTGGCCTGGGAAAGCAGTGGAGGATGGCCCAAGTGCTTGTACCCCTGCACCCATGTGGGAGACCTGGAAGAAGCTCCTGGCTCCAAACCAGCTCAGCTACAGTCATTGTAGCTATATGGGGAGTAGATGGAGGACCTCTCTGTAACTCTGTCTCTCAAAAAGAAGAAGAAAAAAAAAAGAAAAGAAAAAAGAAAAAAGCCACCTGGTTGCCTATATTCCACATGGGAGTATCTGGATTCCAGTCCTGGTTCTGCTCCTGGGAAGCAACAGGTGATAACGCATGTAGTTGAGTCCCTGTCACTCATGTACAAGACCCAGACTGAGTTCCTAGCTCTTGGCTTTAGCTTGCCCAGCCTCAGCTTTTGCAGGCATTTTGAGTGAACCAGTAGATGGGAGATCTGAGTCTGTTTCTTTCTGCCTTTCGGGGGGGGGGGGGGGAGATATCTATATCTATCTCTTACTATGAATGGTGTAGGAAAGAGATTTTCTTTTTTACAATTTTTTTTTTTTTTTTTTTTTTTTACAAGGAGAATGGACCGGGAGGGAGAGAGACCAAGAGAGGAAGGTTCTCGTGTGCCGTTTGTATCACCTCCCATGGGGCGCCCCTGCGCGCCGGGCATCCCGCTTATCCCATGGCAAGAGCAAGAATCCGGTGCTTTTCCTGTTCTACCATGGGGTGCAGGGCCAAGCTCCTAGGCCATCCTCCTCTGCACTCCTGACCATAGCAGAGAGCTGGCCTGGAAGAGGGGCAACCGGGACAGAATCCGGCGCCCCAACCGGGACTAGAACCCGGTGTGCCGGCGCCGCAAGGTGGAGGATTAGCCTATTGAGCCATGGCGCCGGCTACCATTTATTTTGAAAGCAGAGTTACAGGGAGAGGGGGAGAGAGAGCTCTTCCACCTGCTGGTTGACTCCCCTAGATGGCCACAATGGTCAGTGCTGGTCCAGGCTGAAGCCAGGGGCTTCATCTGGGTCCTCTACATGAGTGCAGGGGTCTAAACACCTGGGCCATCTTCTACTGCTTTTCTTAGGGCATTAGTAGGGAGATGAATAGGAATAGGAGCAGCCAGGACATGAACCGGTGCCCACATGGGATACTGGCATTGTAGGCGGCAGCTTTAAGCACTATGCCACAAGGGTGGCCCCACAAAATATTTTAAAGTAAGATATGGAACCATTCTTGCAGCAAAAAGTATAGGAGCTGTGGACATGCAACACCCAAGTCAGCTTAGAGAGGGACCAGGAGAGGCAACAGGGTGTACCAAATGGTTAAGTGTGAATACTGTCGGTCTCTGGAAGAGACTGATGGCTGCTCACCTTCTGCTCCCCCTGGTGGCTCATTTCTACTCTACTGTCACAAGGCACATGAGCAGGCCTGGGGAGCCAGAATGGGGAGATTATTCTGACATTCCAGGACTATGTTGGTAGCCATAGCCTTTCCCTTTAAAACTCATCACAGGGGGTTCCCAAACTTGGCCCCAAAACATGAAACAGGAAAAGCTATGAAAATTATATATAAAGATGTGCAATGAGGCAGACGCTGTGGCGTAGCAGGTAAAGCCAAGCCTGCAGTGCTGGCATCCCATATGGGCGCAGGTTTGAGTCTCGGCTGCCCCACTTCCAATCCAGCTCTCTGCTATGGCCTGGGACAGCAGTAGAAGATGGCCCAAGTCCTTGGGCCCCTGCACCCAGGTGGGAGACCTGGAAAAAGCTCCTGGATCCTGGCTTTGGATCGGCTCTGCTTTGGCCTTTGTGGCCATTTGGGGAGTGAACCAACAGATGGAAGACCTCTTTCTCTCTGCCTCTGCCTCTCTGTAACTCTGCCTTTTAAATAAATAAACAAATCTTTAAAAATAAAAAAAGCAGCATAAAAGAGTGCTCTGATAGAGAAAGGGAAAGCCTGTATGTCCCACGCCCAGCCCTCCCCTGCAGACTCAAGACTACCCTACCCCTCATCTACTTCACCTGGTGGCTTGGTACATGGCAGCTGCAGTCCAGGCCTCAGGCTCTGTGACATAGAGGATCTGTTCCCAGTTGGAGAGTGCAGGGATGATCTTAAAGGCCTTGGGCAGTTTCCCGCTGCGGTACTTAGACAACACCTGGGGAGGAGGGAGGGACTTCAAAATCGTCTCGGCCACTAACACGCAGTGCTTGGGCAGGTGCTCTCATGCCCCAACTCAATCCTCACAGCACGCCTGTAAGGAGGTACTATTATCATGCTCGCTTTCCAAATGACCAGAGTGTCCAATAGCTGACCCAAGACCACCACGTCACTAAGAGGCAGAGCAGGATCTGAACTTTCACAGTCTGGTTCTCCGCCCTGTGCAGCAAAGCCTGAGGCAGGAGCCCACAGCCCCAGGAAGGGTATCCCAGAATTACCTCCCGGACCCCCCTGTAGACCTCCAGCACCCGGGGGTCCAGCTGGGGCATAGGGAAGCCTGACACCTCTGACATGACCGTCTCGACCTCCGTCTGCTTCTCAGTCAGCTTCTCCATGATGATGTCGGCCAGGGTGCGCCTAGAGAGAGAGGAGGGAAAGGGCGCTTGGTCACTGTAGGAAGCCCCAAGGGACCTCATGGTTGCTGTGAGCACCAACAGACCGTCAGCCCCTTGGATGTGTGGCCTTCTGTACCCATCTGCCCACCACCCTCGCTGTGGAAAACGTAGGAATGCAGAGTCACCCCATTAAGGACAAGGCTGGCAGTCCTGGAGGGGCACAGAATGAATCCGCAGTCAGCCAGCCAGGTTCAAATCCTGGCTCTTCCGCTCCCTGGATGACCTTGGGTGTATGGTTTTACCTCTCTACGCGTCAGTTTTCCTGTCTGTACAACAGGATAGTAATGGCATCAACCTTGTAAGCTTACAGCAGCATTAAGTTAACATATGCGTGTCACTTACGGTATGAATTAGTATGCAGTAAGTGCTGCCTACCAACGATCTACCAGGATTCTGCGTACTGGGATCATCGGGGAGGAGATGTGTAAACTTCCCTCCATCTGAATTTATTGACATTAAAACCTGACGATGTGGCCGGCGCCGTGGCTCAATAGGCTAATCCTCCGCCTAGCGGCGCCGGCACACCGGGTTCTAGTCCCGGTCGGGGCGCCGGATTCTGTCCCGGTTGCCCCTCTTCCAGGCCAGCTCTCTGCTGTGGCCCAGGAGTGCAGTGGAGGATGGCCCAGGTGCTTGGGCCCTGCACCCCATGGGAGACCAGGAAAAGCACCTGGCTCCTGGCTCCTGCCATCGGATCAGCGCGGTGCGCTGGCCGCAGCGCGCCGGCCGCGGCGGCCATTGGAGGGTGAACCAACAGCAAAGGAAGACCTTTCTCTCTGTCTCTCTCTCTCACTGTCCACTCTGCCTGTCAAAAATAATAATAAAAAAAAAAAAAAAAAAAAAAAAAAAAAACCCTGACGATGTCTCCTCAGCCTCCTTAAATAGTGCCCATCAAGCATATTCTGCTGAGTTACCGTCACCTTGGGCTGCGCCTTCAGAGGCGGCTGAAGGGTTCTCGTAGCTGCTCCTGTTTCCCAAGCGCCCCCGAAACGCCATGCCCTCAGCTTGGCATCTTCTGGAACAACACCTATGGGAGGCGCTTTTGTTCTCCTTTGCAGATGTGAGACCTGAAGCCCAGAGAAGCCCACAACTCACTTTAGGTCTCACAGCTGTCAAGGGGGAAGCAGGTTCATGTTCCAAGTACAGGTGCTTTACAGGACGCTGTAAATCCCCCAAGCCAGGCAGCCTCTCACTGCTGACTTCCTGTGGGTCTAGGCCTGCTTCTTTGAAGAAGTCATTTTTAAAAATCCCACTGGTCTGGGACCGGTGCTGTGGTGCAGTAGGTTAATCCTCTGCCTGTGGTGCCGGCATCCCATATGGGTGCTGGTTCAAGTCCCAGCAGCTCCTCTTCCGATCCAGCTCTCTGCTATGGCCTGGGACAGCAGTAGAAGATGGCCCAAGTCCTTGGGCCCCTGCACCCACGTGGGAGACCAGGAAGAAGCTCCTGGTTACTGGCTTCAGATTGGCACAGCTGCAGCTGTTGCAGCCATTTGGGGAGTGAACCAACAGAAGAAAGACCTTTCCCTCTGTCTCTCCCTCTTACTATCTGTAACTCTACCTCTCAAATAAAATAAATAAAATCTTCAAAAAAAAAAATCCAACTGGTCTTATTTTTATATGTGTGTGTGTGTGTGTGTGTGTGTGTGTGTGTGTAAAAGAAAGAGAGAGAGAATATGCTCTCTACTGATTCACTTTCCAAATGCCTGCAATGGCCTGGGCTGGGATAGAACAAAGCTAGGTGCTGGGAGCTCAATCTAGATCCTCCACATGTTGGCAGGGACCCAACTTCTTTTTTAAGAACATATATATATATACACATATATATATTTCAGATTTATTTATTTGAAAGGCAGAGTTACAGAAGAGACAGAAAGAGACAGAGGTCTTCCATCCGATGGTTGAGACCCAACTTCTTAAGCCATCATGTGCTGCTGCCTCCCAGCACAAATGACCATAGGAAGCGAGGGTCAAGGATATGGGCTAAGAAGGAAAAAAAAAATGCCTCTCTCTCTCTCTCTATATATATATATATGTATACACACATATATATACCTTTTTTAAAAAAGATTTATTTATTTATTTGAAACTCAGAGATAGAGAAGGAGAGGCAGAGAGAGAGAGGTCTTCCACCTGATGGTTCACTCCCCAATTGGCAGCAATGGCAGGAGCTGTGCCGATCAGGAGCCAGGAGCTTCTTCCAGGTCTCCCATGCGGGTGCAGGGGCCCAAGCACTTGGGCCATCTTCCACTGCTTTCTCAGGTATGTCAGAGAACTGGATGGGAAGCACAGCAGATGGCACCCATACAGCATGCCAGCATTAACAGGTGGTGGTTTAGCCTGCTTTACCACGATGCCAGCTCCAGGCCTGATTTCTGAAGATGATAGCTGTCGTTTCTCAAGATTGCATGAGTCCTTGTTTCTAGAAGTTTGTCCCTTCTATTTACTGCAGGCTGGAAAAGCATTCTGCTAGGTTCATCAGAATTATCTGTGTAGTGGTGGGCATTTGGAGCAGTAGTTAAAATGCCCCTTTTGATGCCCGCATCCTATATCAGAGTGTCTGAGTTTGAGTACTGGTTTCTCTGCTTCTGCTGCTGCTTCTTTTTTTAAAGATTTTATTTATTTATTTGAGAGGTAGAGTTACAGTGAGAGACAGACAGAAAGTTCTTCCATCTGTTGGTTCACTCCGCAATGGCTGGAGCTGAGCCAACTGAAGCCAGGAACCAGGAGCTTCCTCTGCGTCTCCCACGTGGGTGCAGAGGCCCAAGCAGTTGGGCCATCTTCTGCTGCTTTCCCAGGCCATAGCAGAGACTGGATCAGAAGAGGAGCAGCCGGGACTTGAGCTGGTGCCCAGATGGGATTCCAGGGCTGCAGACAGAAGATTAGCCCACTAAGCCACAGCGCTGGCCCTACTCTGCTTCTGATCCAGCTTCCTGCTAGTGCATCTGGAGGCGGCAGGTGGTGGCTGAAATACAGGGGCCTCTGCCACCCACGCAGGAGAGCCACGTGGAGCTCCAAGTTCCTGGCTTCCCCCAGCCCAGCCCTGACTATTGTGGGCATTTGGAGAGTAAACCAGCAGGTGGAAGAGCTCTCTCTGTTGCTCTGCCTTTCAAATGCAATGAATCATTAATTAAAAAAAAAAATTACATAAAAAGAATTCTCTGCTAAGTCAGCGGAATGAGGTGCCAGGTGAGACCCTGAGAGGCTCTCTTCTGGTACAAGCACACAAGCCCAGGGACACACTTTGTCACATCTGTGTCAGCTGCTGGGTGTCAATGTGGGAGACGGGTGCCTTTCTTATTTCTGAACTCTCAAACATCATTCTGTTCCCTCATCTTTTTACAATATAATTAATCGGCAATGAGAGATGCATTAACCCAAAATATTCTAAAGAACCAAGGATGACAACATACTAATATCACAGGATCAGAATGGACCAGGGGAAGGCCCTTATCCTAGACTTACCCTCCCCAGGGCTAAAATACAGGCTCACATATTTGACCACAGGCAGCCTGAATGCCTGCACGTTTGGGAGCTATTTATTACAGAGGAGAATAAACAGTGGTTTTGGCCAGCGCCACGGCTCAATAGGCTAATCCTCCACCTTGCAGCACTGGCACTCCGGGTTCTAGTACCGGTCGGGGCGCCGGATTCTGTCCTGGTTGCCCCTCTTCCAGTCCAGCTCTCTGCTATGGCCGGGGAGTGCAGTGGAGGATGGCCCAAGTCCTTGGGCCCTGCACCCCATGCGAGACCAGGATAAGTACCTGGCTCCTGCCTTCGGATCAGCGCAGTGCGCAGGCCGCAGCGGCCATTGGAGGGTGAACCAACAGCGAAAAGGAAGACCTTTCTCTCTGTCTCTCTCTCTCACTATCCACTCTGCCTGTCAAAATAAATAAATAAATAAATAAACAGTGGTTTTCACGAGGAGGGGTGTAAATTTACCAATATATGGAGTTATTTTTTGGTTATCACACTTGAATTTGCGATCGAAAGGGTATAGATCTCCTGAACATCTTATAACACAAGAAACAGCTTCCACAAAAAAGAACCACCCAGGCCCAAATACAAACAGCGCTGAGGTGGAAAAACCCCAGACCAAATGCAGCTTAGCACGCGAAAGGGAGGTTTATCTTACCACTAAAGCCAGAGTGTATCAGGACCAGGTGCAATGGGATGGACCTCCCAGATATAAAAAGGGCTTCTAGCTGTTTCCCTGGGTAATCTGGGCAGTTCGAGTACTGGTCGAAGTGGAAGAGGCATTCTTGGAATGGATGAGCCACCTGTCTAGGGGTCTCCCACAACTAGCAATGCCCAGGCCTTCTCCAAAAATAGGGAACTGCCAGGGCATTTCGTTTCTCCAGGGGAGCTTTCTTCCAGGGCCTACCACCTCAGTGCCCAGCCCTACCTGGCAGGAGGGTTCTTGTTCATGAACATCTCAATGGCACGCTCATCCTCAGGGTCCACGACCACCTCTGCATGGTGGTCTACCCCCTTCATCGTGGCAGCCTTCTCCAGGGTGGGCCACTCCTCATCCTCATCGTCTGACCCATCCTGTGGCACTCCAGGACCTAGAAAAGGGGAGGTAAATGGATGAGCAGGGGAAGGAGTAGGTAGATTTTTTAAGTTTATTGTTATTTATTTGAAAGGCAGAGCAAGAGGGAGGGAGGGAGAGATGGGGCCAGTATTGTGGCGTACCGGCTTAAACCACTGCTTGCGATGCCGGCATTCCATAAGGGCACCAGTTCAAGTCCCTGCTGCTCCACTTCCAATCCAGCTCCCTGCTAACGCACCTGGGAAGGCAGCAGAAGATGGGCTTGTCTGGCCAAAGCCAGGAGCCAGGAACTCCATCCGGGTCTCCCACATGGGTGGCAGGGGCCGTCATTTGCTGCCTCCTAGGATGTACATTAGCAGGAAGCTGGAGGGAAGCAGAGCGGGGAGCTGAGCCCAGGGACTTGGATGTGGGGTGCAAGCTTCCCAAATGGCAACTTAATCTGCTGCACAAGGCCTGCCCCTGGGTGAGGCACTTAGTTTTACTTTAACCATTATATAGTACAGGCCTCACGTACATGTAATCAATACAGGTGCATGAAGCAGAACAGATGAGACACACAGTCTTCCTGTCCCCAGATGCTTGCAATCTCCCTTGAGAAACAAAATGTAAAATGAGACAAAGAGCCAGCAAGGCCCATAAATAATAGTCACCACACCCTACGCAGTTCTGCAGCAGTCAACTGTCCTGACATTCTCTACAGACGCTGACTGCTTAGCCTTTGTAACCCCAAGAAGAAGGTATGCCCAGAAGCAGATGAAGTCGTTGAAGCACAGAGAAGTGGCGCCATCTGCGTAACATCAGCAATCCCAGGGGTCAGGACTGTGCCTTCATCACCACTGCTGCCCCCTCACGCAGGGCTGCGTTTCCATCTCAGTGAGGGGTCGGGACAGCACACAGGCACTCACAAGATGAGCGCTGCAGCCAGGCTCTGGACCGGCGGTGCGGGGGCAGGTGGAGTGTGTTCGACTGAGGTAGGCATCTTGGAGAAAGGGCTTGGTTCTGAGTGTCTGTTAGGCAGTAGGAAGGAACAGGGCTGGATGGGAAGGTCCTGAAAGCCAGGCAGTAGGGCTAAGAGGGCAACACCTGAATAGTTGATTTTTGGAAGGCTATGCCTGGCTGGGCATCTAGAAAGGTTTCTAATAACTCAAGTGGAGAGATAAAACGCTCCATGTGAACAGGTAGTTCAGAACAATGGCAGGTACAGGACAAGAGCTAAATGGGGGAAGGGGGTGATGTAGTATGGTGGGTGTAACCTGTCACTTGGGATGCTGGCATCCCATATCAGAGTGCTAACGTTCAAGTCCCACCTCCTTTTTTTTTTGACAGGCAGAGTGGACAGTGAGAGAGAGAGACAGAGAGAAAGGTCTTCCTTTGCCGTTGGTTCACTCTCCAATGGCCACCGCGGCTGGCGCACTGCGGCCGGCGCACCCCGCTGATTCGATAGCAGGAGCCAGGAGCCAGGTGCTTTTCCTGGTCTCCCATGGGGTACAGGGCCCAAGCACTTGGGCCATCCTCCACTGCACTCCCTGGCCACAGCAGAGAGTTGGCCTGGAAGAGGGGCAACCGGGACAGAATCCGGCGCCCCGACCGGGACTAGAACCCGGTGTGCCGGCGCCACTAGGCAGAGGATTAGCCTAGTGAGCCGCGGCGCCGGCCCCACCTCCTTTTCTGATCCAGCTTCTTACTAGGGTGTACCCTGGTAGGCAGTATGTGATGGCTCCTGTAGTTGGATCCTGGTCACCCAAGCAGGAGACCCAGAGTGCTGGGTTCCTGGCTTTGGCCTGGCCCAGCCCCAGCTGTTGCAGGCATTTGGAGTGAACCATTTGATGGAGGATCGCTCTCTTTGCCTTCCAAATAAATGAAAATATTTTTTTCAAAGATTTATTCATTTGAAAGTCAGAGTTACAGAGAGGCAGAGGCAAAGAGAGAGGTCTTCCATTTACTGGCTCACTCCCAAAATGGCCACAACGGTGGGAGCTGAGCTGATCCAAAGCCAGGAGCCAGGAGCTTCTTCTGGGTCTCCCACACGGGTACAGGGGCCCAAGGACTAGTACCATCTTCTACTGCTTTTCTAGGCCATAGCAGAGAGCTAGATCAGAAGTGGAGCAGCTGGGACTTGAACCAGTGCCCATATGGGATGCTGGCATTGCAAGCAAAGGCTTAGCCCACTATGCCACAGCACCAGTCCCAAAAATGAATTTTAAAAAAATATTCTAGGGGCCAGCACAGCAAGTAAAGCCACTTGGGCCCCTGCATCTGTGTGGGAGACCTGTAAGAAGCTCCTGGCTTCAGATCGGTGCAGCTCCAGCCACTGCAGCCCTCTGGGGAGTGAACCAGCGGATGGAAGACCTCTCTCTCTCTGCCTCTCTGTAACTCTGCCTTTCAAATAAATAAATAAATCTTCAAAAAAAAAAAAAAATTCTAAAGCTCCATTGGGATGGGAGGCAGACATTTTTCTCCATTCCATTCTTACTTCCAGATGCTGACTCCAGGTGCCTCGTGGAACAGCTGCTTGGGGAAGACTCACAGGCACCTCAAACTCCACCTTCATCAAGAGAACTCATTCCCTTCCCTCACGGTCTACACTGCTCAGTCCTCCAAAGCTGGGTAAACGGCACCATCCCGGACTCAACACTGAGCTTGGGAAGCAGCCCTGCCTCATGCCCTGCCCTCACCTTCAACCTCCAATCAACTACCAACTCCTAGTCCCCAGAATTTTACCTCACAGACTGTCTCTCAAGTCCTTGACAGCCCAGGCTAAGCCTCCATCTGCAGCATCTTTTGCTGGATTAATTCAGCAGTCCCTTAATGTTTGTCTCACTTCCCTCCACTGCATTCTTCACTCTGCAGGGAGAGTAATCTGCCAGCAACGCACATTTGATTTGGTCAGTTCTGCACTCAAACCCCTCCCACAGCTTCCCATCATTGTTAGAAAGGCTTTCAATTCTGGGCATGCTCTCCAAGAGCTCTGCAGGTTTGGCACCTACCTACCTACCTCACCATCATTCATTAGTCCATTTACTCAGCGAACATCGAGTGTCTGCTACATGTGAGGCACTGGTAAGAGTGCTGGAAGGTTAGCAGTGAACAAGAGAAACAGAAATTGTTGACCTCACAGAGCTTACATTCTAACTGGAGGAGAAAAACATAAAAAATAGACGTAATATATAAATATATTGGATTAAAAGAAGAGAAGTACTAAGACAAAACACAGAGTAGAGAAGTCAGAAGTACAGAGGGGTCCAGCACTGTGGTGGGTGAGGCCACTGCCTGCAGTGCCGGCATCCATATGGGTGCCGGTTCGAGTCCCAGCTGCTCCACTTCTGATCCAGCTCTCTGCTGTGGCCTGGGAAAGCAATACAAGATTAGAAGATGGCCCAGGCCCTTGGGCCCCTGTACCAGTGTGGGAGACCAGGAGGAAGCTGCCGGCTCCTGGCTTTGGATCTGCTAAGTTCTGGCTGTTGTGACCACCCAGGGAGTGAACCAGCAAATGGGACCTCTCTCTGCCTCTCTGTGACTCTGCCTTTCAAATAGATAAACTGCAAGCCTGCAGGCAATGGAGTAGACTAATCCAGGAGAAGGAACAGCCAGGCACAGGCTCCAACTGCCCATGTTTAGAAGGAACAATGAGATTTGTATGGTGGAGTAGAGGACAAAGGGAAAGAAGCCGGCGGTCAGACGGTAATAGAGGTAGATCACACAGGGCACTGTGCACTATTAGAACCCTGTAGCTGTAGGGGCAACAGGATCGTGGTTAGGAGGGTACCACAATAACCCGAGCGCAGAACATGGCGGCTTGGACATGATGGCGTTTCTAAGGTGGCGGAGGTGGTCATCAGAACTTCCTAATGAATAAGACATGGAGACAGGAGGGGGAAAAGAAAGGGAGGGGGAGGGAGACCAAGGACAGGGGAGGACCAGGTGTGGGAGTCAGAGTTTGTTTTGGACATGGTAAGTTTGAGATGTCTTTTACATGTCAAATGAGAGATGCCCAATAGCAGCTGAATATAAGAATTTGGGCTTCAGGGGCTGGTGTTGTGGTGTAGCAGGTGAAGGAAGCTGCTGCCTATGACACCAGCATCCCATATGAAGCCAGTTCAAGTCCCAGCTGCTCTACTTCTGACCCAGTTCCCTGCTAATTGCCTGGGGAAAGCAGCAGAAGATGGCCCAAGTGCTTGGGCCCCGGCACCCACAGGGGAGACCGGGATGAAGCCTTGCTGGTTGCCGCCATCTGGGGAATGAACCAGTGGATACAAGATTTCAAATAAATAGATAAAAAAATTTTGAGTTTCTTGGAAGAGATCAGGGCTGGAATAAAAAGTAGGTAACACTCACTAAATAGATGGTAGTTAAATCATGAAACTTGAACAGGAAGTTTCAAATGCCTGCAAAAGCCAAGGAGACCCAGATGGAGCTCCGGATTTGGCCCGGCCCAGCTCAGTCATTGTGACCATTTGGGGAGTGAACTAGTGGATAAAAGATCTCTGTGTCTCTTCCTTTCAAGTAAATAAATAAATCTTAAAAAAAGAAAAAAAAGAAAGAAACAGCTTAGGAAACCCACATCCCATAACTGAATGCCAGGGTTCGAGTCCTGGTTCCACTGCAGATTCAGGCTTCCCACTAATATAGACCCTGAGAGACAACAGGAGGGAGCTCAAGTCATTGTGTCCCTGCAACCCACCCGGAAGAACTACACTGAGTTCCAGGTTTGGTCTGGCCCAGCCCTGGCCGTAGCAGGCAGCAGGCGTTTGGGAAGTAGATTAGGGGAAGCAAGTTTTCTCTCTCTGCCTTTCAGATAAAGATACTGTAGCCAGAAGAGCAGGGTTCAATTGCGTCAAATACTGCTTTTCTACAAATAAGATAAGCTCTGAGAAGTCGGTTAAACAACTCAGAGGTCAAGGCTTCTCCCCTATGAGAAAACAGTCAACATTTTTCAATCATCTCTCCCTCCACTTGGCCCCTAAACAATACTGCTTTTTCTGTTATGAACATTCGGTTTCAGGTCTCAGCTTCCAGGCTGGGCAACTCTGACCCCTACACGAATGCTATCGTTTCCAGAGAAACGAGACTTTCTTTCCCATGGAATTTACTGTTCTAATTGTCTCTCTCTTGGTTTAGACTGTAAGGTCCCGAGCTATATCTTGTTTATTTCTGCACGCAATCCATCAAAACTCCCAGCATCGTGCAAAGCCGGTAGCGAGCATCCCATATTTACAAAACCGTTGGACAAATGCTAGGAGAACTTGGTGGCCTGAGCCATCACTTCCTATTGGCCTAACTTGCGGGACGCGGCGAAAGGAGCACTAAAAACAGGGAGCGGGCCTGCAGGGTTCGGTCTTCCACCTGCCCTGCTCTCGGTAGAGAGCAACGTGCAACCCGGTTTTGAATCCAAGGTACTCCCCTGCCGGACACCTGTGGGCCGTCCACCCCCCAACCCAACTACTGCCTTCCCCGCGGACGCTCACCCAGCCGCGTGGCGCGCTCCCGAGGCTTGGCGGGCCCGTCCCCAGAGCCGTGCTCGGTTTCCAGCTCCTCCTGTTGCTGCCGTGCTTGCTGCAAAATCCGCCGGCTCAGCCGGGGCCCCACATACTCTTCCTCCTCTTCCCCGGTTCCGCGGCCCCGCCGCTTTTCCCGGGCACTTGACCGCACCGCGTTCCCAGCCAGGATCTGCTCGGCCAGGGGCGCGTGTTTTTCCTGAGCCCCAGCCCCACGGGCCGCTTTGAATTTCGGCATTTTTCTCGATAATGCGGCCCGGCAAACTCACACGTGGGTACGGCGACAGCCCAGGATGTGCGCTCGGCAATGAACGCCCAGGTCTGTGCCGAGAGGCCACGCGCTCACAGCGCCCCTACGCGTTCGGAGGCCAGAAAAGCAGCCAGCACCACTGCACTCCCGCAGGGAACTCCCGAGTCCTGGAGCCGGAGCCCGGAACAAATGCATTGCCTTTGACGTTGACGTCTCTAAATGGTGGCAGCCCGGGCCACGCTTTCCTAGCTTTCTGGATCTAGGACCAGGGTGGCCAACCAAACGGAAACTTCCGGAACTGCAAGCCAGGGGAGGGGCTGGGAATCGGGCCGATGACCTCACTGGAGGCGTCACCCAGAGTCGCTGCTGGTGCGTCTAACCGGCGCTCTGTTTTTACGTACTTCCGGAGCCCCTCCCGCGACCCGAGCCTGCGGTAGTTTTTAGTTCTTGTGGGCTTCGGGAGAGCGCTGTTTCGGCTGTGTGGTCGTGCCGCTTTCCAGGCCTGACGCTATGGGAGTGACCTGGTAGGATCACAAAGGGTTTTATGGGGCGGGACTTGGGTCGTGAAGGTCCCTTGAAACCTGGAGGGTCGGGGACTGAAGTCCGCCGTTCTCCGGGAGCTGAGCAAAATGCCCTCGGGCTGCGTGGATGTGGGCACTCTAAGGGCCGTGAGTCTCGGGCCCTAATGGGCCCCATTGCTCCTGGAAGGAAGCAAGGAAAAGGTTTTATCTCAGGAACCTTATGCATGGGTTGTGTACCCTCTTCTCTTTTTCTTGGTACGTCTTGCTACCCTTGAAATCCTAGTAGTGCAGAAAGTGGGACTTCGAGGTCGGAAACAGGGCTTTTCAGACTAGAACCCACCCGCAGGTAGGGTTAAAGCTGATAGGAGATAGGCAACGAGGCGGTGTTTGTGTGTTCGCCTCCCCCTACCTGTAGCCACCCAATAATCAGCCTGTATCTGGTTCTCATTCGGGTCTACAGGATCAAAATGGAAACTACTGGGAATTAGAAGATCAGGTTTCCAGACACTTTACTTCCTCATGACCTGCCTCCTACTACGTTTATACGGTTGATTCAGTTTCAGTGCACTTAAAAAAAAAAAAGATTTATTTATTTGAAAGGCAGAGTTAAAGAAAGGCAGGGGCAGAGAGAGAGCTTCCATCTGCTGGTTCTCTCCCCAAATGGCTGCAATAGCCGGAGCTGGGCCGATCAGGAGCCTGTAGCTTCTTCCAGGTCTCCCATGGGGGTGCAGGGGCCCAAGCACCTGGGCCATCTTCTACTGCTTTCCCAGGCCATGACAGAGAGCTGGATCGGAAGTGGAGCAGCCGGCTCTCAAATCGGCACCCACATGGGATGCCAGCTCTACAAGCAGCTGCTTTACCCTCCACGCCACAGCACTGGCCCCCAATGGACTTTTAAATCTCTGAACATGTTCTCAAACCCAGATGGAAGAGGATGGGGTGGAGGGGAAGGGTATGAACCCAGGGATCTTGGAGACCTTAGTTCCAAGGTGCTGGGTCTCTGCACCTTTTTTCTTCTTCTTCTTTTTTTTTTTTTTTTTAAGTCTTGGTTGTGAGCATCTCATCAGAGAGGCCTGGAGGCCAGGATATCTGAAGCCAGGAGTTATAGGCTTCTCTTTTTTTTCTCTTTTTTGAAAGATTTGAGAGGTAGAGTTACAGACAGTGAGAGGGAGAGACAGAAAGGTCTTCCATCTGCTCGTTCACTCCCCAGATGGCCCCAATGGCTGGAGCTGCGCCAATCCGAAGCGCTTGGGCCATCTTCTGTTGCTTTCCCAGGCCATAGCAGAGAGCTGGATTGGAAGAGGAGGAGCCAAGACTCGAACCGGCACCCATATGGGATACCGGCACCACAAATGGAGGATTAACCTACTGCACCACAGCACTGGCCCCCTAGGCTTCTCTTTTAAAAATAGTTGGGGGTAGAGGGAACACAATTTCTCCCAGTAGCCAGGGGTTTCTGGGGCTTGCACTCTTGTTTCCCCTACCACAACCCTCCCAAGCCCTGCAGAGTGAGGGTGCTGGTGCGGGATGGAGGTGGAAAAGTTGCAGCACAGGGGTTGGGACTGTGTGTAGCAGATTAAGTTACTGCCTGCAGTGCCGGCATCCCTTATGGGCACTGGTTCAAGTCCTGGCTGCTCCACTTCCAATCCAGCTCTCTGTAATGGCCTGGGAAAGCAGTAGAAGATGGCCCAAGACCTTGGGCCCCTGCACCCACGTGGGAGACCTGATGAAGTTCCTGGCTTTGTTGCCGGCCATTCCTGGGGGCGCCCTTATCAACTTTTCCAAAATCCTAGGACCTCTGTCCCTTGTAGCTTCAGGGATTCTCTGAAAGTACTTCAGAAAGTTCACAGAAAGTATGTATTATGAAAAACTATGCAATGTTTTGGCACCAAAATCTTTCTTTTTCTTTTTTGACAGCCAGAGTGGACAGTGAGAGAGAGAGACAGAGAGAGGGAAAGGTCTTCCTTTGCTGTTGGTTCACCCTCCAATGGCCGCCGCAGCCGGCAGCCGGCGCACCGCGCTGATCCGATGGCAGGAGCCAGGTGCTTCTCCTGGTCTCCCATGCGGGTGCAGGGCCCAAGCACTTGGGCCATCCTCCACTGCACTCCCTGGCCACAGCAGAGAGCTGGCCTGGAAGAGGGGCAACCGGGACAGAATCCAGCTCCCCGACTGGGACTAGAACCCAGTGTGCCGGTGCCACTAGGTGGAGGATTAGCCTAGTGAGCCGCGGCGCTGGCTGGCTGGCGGCTTCTATTTCCGCATCTTTACAACGTGAGGGAGGGGTGGGGTCGTAGCTTCTGGCTTGGCTGAGCCACAGTTCTGTGGATAGAATGGCTAAGTGAGTATGTGTGTGTCTGGGTACTGACACTGTGGTTCTCTCCTTCCCAGTGTGTCCCAGATGCCTGTGGCCGAGGGCAAGAGTGTCCAGCAGACCGTGGAGCTCCTCACCCGAAAATTGGAGATGCTTGGGGCAGAGAAGCAAGGAACGTTTTGTGTGGATTGTGAGACTTATCACACGGCTGCCTCTACCCTTGGAAGCCAAGGTCAGTGAGATGGGTATGTAGGACGGCTGGAATGTGCCTTGGAATTCACGGGCATTAATGAGAGTTCCTTATGCTTTTGTGTATTCCAGAACACATGGCAAGATGTCTTTGTAAATTTATTCATTCTTGGTCTTTTATTTCTTAGACCGGGGATATTTTTGTTTTTCTGCCTTTAGAACTTTTTTTAAGCTTTGAGGTATAAGTGATAGACAAAGAATTGTATATATTTAATTGTATATATTCAGTGCATAATCTTAATGAGTTTGGACATGCATGTGAAGAGTCTAAAATACATATTTTGTTTTAAGATTTATTTTATGTGAAGGCAGAGTTATAGAGACAGAGAGATCTTCCATCCACTGATTCACTCTGTAAATGGCCACAACGGCTGGAGCTGGGCCAATCAAAAACCAGGAGCTTCTTCTGGGTCTCTCACATGGGTGTGGGGACCCAAGCACTTGGGCCATCTTCCATTGCTTTCCCAGGTGCATTAGTAGGGAGCTGGATTGGAAGTGGAATAACTGGTACTCAAACCAGTACCCAAATGGGATGCTGGTGCTGCAGGCAACAGCTTTATCTGCTTTGACATAGCACCAGCCCCAAAAAAGCATATAATGAAAAAATATGCATAGATTTCAAAAATTTTTTGTACCAAAATGGACTTAAAAATGCTTATTTATTTGAAAGAATGACAGAGAGAGATCATTCATCTACTGGAATACTCTCCAAATGACCACAATAGCCAGGTTTGGGAGCTGCATTCTGGACTCCCACGTGGGTAGCAGGGCCCAAGTATCTGGGTCATCTTCTGCCTTCCCAAGCACATTGGCAGGAAACTGAAACAGCAGTGGAGTAGCTGGGACTCAAAACTAGCAGTCCAGCATGGAAGTCAGTGTTGTAGGAGGTGGATTACCCATTGCACCACAACACTGGCCTCTAGGCTTGTTTTCTGATTCCATTTTCTACAGTCTTTGTGAAATACTCTCAGATACTAAAGAACATAGTACATTTTGTTTGAGCTTTTTTTTCTGTATGAGCTGTTAGTCATCTAAGCATCCCTCTGTGAGCCACCAAGGAGAGGGGAACCACTCCCCACATACACACTGGTATGCAGGACTGCTAAAGTAGTACCCGCTTGCCAGCTGGCCTTGTTCCATGCGTTGATCCCAGCCTGGGTCTGCCAGCGAAAGCCTGGGTGATGAGTAGGTCTCCGTCCGTTGCAGGTCAGGCCGGGAAGCTGATGTATGTCATGCACAACTCGGAGTACCCGTTGAGCTGCTTCGCCCTCTTTGAGAATGGCCCTTGCCTTATTGCTGACACCAACTTTGATGTGCTCATGGTGAAGCTCAAGGGCTTTTTCCAGAGTGCCAAGGCCAGCAAGATTGAGACTCGGGGCACCCGTTACCAGTACTGTGACTTCCTGGTGAAGGTGGGCACTGTGACAATGGGTCCCAGTGCCCGGGGCATCTCTGTGGAGGTAAGATCTCGGTGAAGTGGGAGCAGGTGGTGCTGAGGGGCTGCGCAGCAGAGGGCTCTGAAGGTTTTCCAGGCAGCCCAGGTCACACAGATGTTTTTGCCTGCCTGACCCCTGATTCCAAGCTCCTGGCTTTCTCTCCATGAATTTTTTACCCTTTCTTTCATCAGTTATGGAATCAGTAGCCCAGCATGGGAAATGGGAAGCTGGGTGCACAGCAGGTAAAAGCATACGATGCCTGACTTGCCGGAGAAGGGAAGGGAGAACTGAGGGAGACATGTGGGTGATGATGTGCAGGAGCTGTGGCAGGACCTGCAGCAGACTAGGACAACTTTTGGAGCCACTTTTGGAAGGTGACTCCTTCATCACTTTGAATGTCAGCCTCCTTATTGTTGCTTTGAAATGGGTCTCAGAAGTTGTGGAGTGAAAATGCGCCTTCCTTTTGATATGCTGCTGCTCTGTTTTGTGGTGCAGAGGGGTACCTGTATGAGAAGACTTCATCCGTGAGCCTAAATATACATACTGAAATTGGCAGAGAGGAGTAAGGTGGAAGCTGGCCCTGGGACCTGGGGAAGTCCATGGCCTACCACATACCCAGCATTATTTGAGATTAAAAAACAAGGAAGTTTACAGGGCTTGCATTTTGGAAATCTATGATTTATTAAGAGAACAAGGCTAGAAAACTGTTTTTGAAGTCAGTCCAAGAAATGCCATAAGTGGAGCACAGCTTTGCTCAGGGAATTCAGGCCAGCGGTAACTGCTGACTCGGTTGTGATGCTTCTGGGAGGAGCAGCATTGAAGTAGGGGCTTAAAACATAGAGACGTGGGATGGGTCGGTCTGGGAAGCATCCCAGGTGGGGAAAAGGGCAGTAGCAGTGATTTCTGCTCAGAAACCTCTGGAGCACAGATTCCCTAACTTTTCAGCTTGGGATACACCTTGAGTTGCTGAGACCCAACGGGACCCGCTGTTTGTCCTCCACTTCCACCCTTGTGGGACAAACACACTCAACAGTTTCTCCTTGTGACCCCAGTGAAAAACTAGGAGAGAGGAACAAGAAAACCTGAGATGTGTATTCTTGGCCGCTGCCACCTTGCTTGGGAAATTCTTTTAGGCGTAGAGCCCTGGCTATATCTGCCTTGGAAATAAAGATTGGTCTTGAAGAGGCTCATGAGGATGTGTGTCTACTCTGCCCTCTACTTACCCCTTCAGCCCTACTCCTGCCTTCCTCGTACCTACACACATTTTTCTTCCCTTCTCTCTTTGTTGTATGTCTCAGAATTTTCCTGAGCTCTCCTTGAATCCTCACCAAGCATCACAGCAGAGTCTGCAGAGCCCTGAGACAAACAAAAGGGACCCAGATCTGCCCATGGGGCTAACAGGGAGGGCTGCGGGCTGACAACCTCCAGGATGGCGTTTAATGGGAACAATGCTGGGTGTGTTGAATATTTCCTGTGGACAACACTGTGCTGGCAGGTGTGTGTTTTTGACTCAGGGTTGGGGGACATAGAGGCAGAGGGCAGGAGGGCAAGAGAGCAGACCTTGTCCTTGCCCTCCCTTACCCTCATTCTCTGTTCTTTTGGTCCCCAGGTGGAGTACGGCCCCTGCGTGGTAGCTAGTGACTGCTGGAGCCTGCTGCTTGAGTTCCTACAGAGTTTTCTAGGCAGCCATACACCAGGGATTCCTGCAGTGTTTGGAAACAGACACGACGCAGTCTATGGCCCAGCAGACACCATGGTCCAGTACATGGAACTCTTCAACAAGATCCGCAAGCAGCAGCAGGTGCCAGTGGCTGGGATTCGTTAGTGGCTGGCAGCTGCTGGCCAAGCTTTGTCACCAGAGGTACTCCACAGGAGGAGGTGCTGCCCTCAGGTCTCTGGACCCCAGAAATCTAGGGCAGCCATGGAGGCCTCTCTTCCTTTCCAGTTCCCAGCTGTGGCCTTTGTGGGGACTCTGGACTCCACACCCTTGACCCTCACACAGCCCCCCAACAGCCATTTTGCCCCAGGCCTCACTGGATTTGGCCTGTCCTCAGGAATGGTATTTATGAAGACTGGAGAAGTTTGGACCTCTCCTGCTTTAGGGGAAAAGGTAGGACAGGGGTGCCCCTGCCTAGTGTTGGTGGGGAAATCAGTCTGGACCCACAACAGATGTGCTGCGTTTCGTGTTTGGGCCATGCAGGAATAAAAATCTCTTCCTTAACTCAAAGGATGTGGCTGGAGATGCAGGCGGAAGCACAGCTTGTTTGATGCCTGTCATTTTCTGACCTGTTTGCCAGAAACTGTGAATTGACTTTCCTAGGGTGTTAGCTGAGTTTTTGAGCTCTCCTGTTGATGTCTTTCCCTTCTGTCGTGATTATGTTAAGCCACAGGCTAAACTCTGTCGTAGCGGAGAACCAAAAGGACTGTGGCTCTTACTAGGTAAAAGTTTCTTTCTCCTCTGATAGTACACAGGTAATCAGATGGTCCAGAGCAGATTTAACTGTACCAGGTCATCAGGAACTTGTTTTCCTTCTGTCTTGTTGTTCAGCTATCCCTAGGGTATTATCCTTACCCACAAGATCAAAGCAGACTCCTCAGTTCTGTGTCCACATTCCCCTGGGAAAGAGGGAAGAGAGCGGCTTTTTTTTTTAGAGCATATGACCTGGAGCGATTCAAGTGCTGGTGCCACACTTTGCTGGAAGGCTTCGCTGTGACGCGGAACCTTGCAACTGGGTAGTCATGTGCCCAGTTAAAACTAAAAGATGAAGGAGAATATGGATACAGGGACCCAGTTAGTGGGTTTTTGCTGTGTGGAGCTCCCTAGATACATCCAGGAATGCTCTTTTACAGTGCTTTTTATGGAACTAAGGCCTTTGGTCTGAGGTGGCTTGGAATGAGGGCTGATCCAGAGGCACTGTGAGCTTAGCTGGACAAGTCACACTAGGAAGTCAGCTCTGCATCCCACACCAAACTCAGCCTTTCTAGTTCTCATGCACCTGCAGCTCAGGGTTAGCTGAGCTAACCTGAGGTCAGCTGACGCAGGTGATGCAGTGTATTTCTTAAATAATTCCACAAATACAGCACCCCTAGCAAAGGTAACTAAACTGAACTTGTGACTGTTGGGAAGGGCCCAGATGTCACCTAGCTTTTGTGTACATGTCTGAAGGGGACTTTCAGGAACAGTTATGGGTATAATAGTGTATAATTTTTGGAAGTTCAGGTTGAATCAAAGTTGAAGTTGAGGACTGTTTATGAATTTAAGGAAAAAGTCATTACAATTATGTAATAAATGATCTTTTTTAATAATTTTTTTTCTTAAGATTTGTTTATTTATTTGAAAGGCAGAGTTACAGAGAGAGGCAGGAGAGAGAGTCTTCTATCCACTGGTTCATTTCCCAGATGGTCGCAACAGCACCTATCTGGACCCAAGATCCAGGAGCTTCTACAGGGTGTCCCACATGGGTGCAGGGGCTCAAGGACTTGGGCCATCTTCCACTGCTATCCCAGGCCACATCAGAGAGCTGGATCAGAAGTGGAGCAACTGGGATTCGAACCAGTGCCCATATGGCTGCCGGCACTCAGGTAGCAGCTTTACGCACTATGCCACAGCACCGGCCCCTATCTTTTTTTAAGCTTTATTTATTTGAAAGGCAGAGCAAGGTGGGGAAGCGAGAGAAAGAGAGAAACTTCTGTCTGCTGGTACACTCCTCAAATGGCTAACTGAGGTTGGTCCAGGCCAAAGCCAGGAGCCCAAAACTCCATCTTGATCTCTCATGTGGGTGGCAGGGATCTAAGCACTTGGACCGTCTTCTGCTGCTTTCCCAGGCAAATTAACAGGGAGTTGGACTGGAAGCAAAGCTGCCAGGACTGGAACTGGCACTCTTGATAATGGGATGCTGGTGTGACAAGCGACAGCTTAGTCCACTGTGCCACAATGCTGGCCTCTAAATAAAATAGATTTTTGTTTTTTAAAAAATACTTATTTTATTTGAAAGGCAGAGAGAGAGGGAGAGACAGAGAGCAGGAGATCTTCTGTCCGCTGGTTTACTCTCCAGATAGCCATAATAGCCAAGACTGGGCCAGGCCAAAGCCAGGAGCCAAGAGCTTCTTTCAGGTCTCCCATGTGGGTGGCACTTGGGCATCTTCTGCTTTCCCAGGCCATTAGCAGGGAGCTGGATTGAAAGTGGAACAGGCAGGAATTGAACTGCTGCCTATATGGGATGCCAGCATTGCAGTCAGCAGCTTAACCCACTACACCACAGTGCTGGTCCACATATCTTAAAATCAGCTAGTGAGTGGAGGTGCGTATCTTTTGATTAAAATCTTATCTTCTGTCTTCTACATGAGACTGTTTCTACCCCTTTTCTGCCTCCAAATGCTTCAACCCTCTCCCTATCTGTAGCTAGCAAAAAAGAACAGAAACTGGAAAGACTCTGAGACCCTGCTGCCATGTAACCTTTTCTGGAACCACAGACACCTGCCAACCTTGAGCTGACTGTCAGAGCTGTGTAGGACAGCTTGAGAATTCATCTGATTCTCTCCATAAAATGGGAAGGCTGGGGCCGGCGCTGTGGCATAGCACATAAAGCCACTGCCTGCAGTACCGGCATCCCATATAGGCGCCAGTTCAAGTCTCGGCTCCTCCACTTCTGATCCAGCTCTCTGCTATGGCCTGGGAAAGCAGTAGAAGGTGGCCCAAATCCTTGGGCCCCTGCACTCACGTAGGGGACCAGGAAGAAGATCCTGGCTCTTGGCTTCGGGTTGGCGCAGCTCTGGCCATTGTGGCCAGTTCTGGAGTGAACCAGTGGATGGAAGACCTCTCTCTCTTTTTCTGCCTCTCCTTTTCTTTCTGTGTAACTCTCATTTTCAAATAAATAAATGAATCTTTAATAAAAAGTGAGGAAGGCTAAGACCCCTAGAGAGGTCACAAAGAGATGAGAGTGGAGTCAGGACTCCTATGTCTTATTCTAAGTGTATTAAGAGAAGAATATAAGTAGCACTTTATTTCTCAGGAGCAGGGTAAGGTTTTTCTGTTTGTTCTTTGTTTTGTTTTGTTTTATTTTATTTTGTTTTGACAGGCAGAGTGGATGGTGAGAGAGAGACAGAGAGAAAGGTCTTCCTTTATCGTTGGTTCACCCTCCAATGGCTGCCACGGCCGGCGCGCTGCGGCCGGCACACCATGCTGATCCGAAGCCAGGAGCCAGGTGCTTCTCCTGGTCTCCCATGGGGTGCAGGGCCCAAGCACTTGGGCCATCCTCCACTGCACTCCCGGGCCACAGCAGAGAGCTGGCCTGGAAGAGGGGCAACCGGGACAGAATCCGGTACCCCGACCGGGACTAGAACCCCGTGTGCCGGTGCCGCAAGGCGCAGGATTAGCCTAGTGAGCAGGGAGCTGGATTGAAAAGTGGAGCAGCCAGGACTCAAACCAGTGCCCATAAGGGATGCTGGAGCCACAGGCGGAGGCTTAACCTACTATGCCACAGCACCGGCCCCCCCCTAATTCTTTTGCATTCCTTATTCCATTGCCCAACACATCCCTGCCCATCAGATAGGATAGAACAATTTAAGGGTAATATGTGTTCTGAATTCTCTGTGGAAGCTTTAAAAAAGGAGAATTTAGGTACCACATTTATATAACCTACATTGTTCAGAAGCCAGAATTCAATATTGGAAATCATTTGTCATGTCGGAAAGGGGAGACTGGTTTTGTGGAGGTGATAGGTGTACTGAGGCAGCCTGCAAAAGGAACAGAAACACTGCTTTAGGAGAACAGGTGGCTGTGTGACAGCCATAGCATTGACCCAAACTTGCCAGGTAACTTCAGTCAGGTTGGCTCCCTCTGGGTTTCATCAGTGTAGTGGGAATAATGATGCTGCCTTCTGTATATCCTAGGGTTAAGGAGAATAGATACGAAGAGTGCTTTGTAAACAAGGAGATGCCCTCTCTGCTCTTGTGTCTTTTTAATGGTACTGGAGATAGCAGTGTTTGGTTAGAACATTTAAGATGGCAGGTTCTGGGGCCAGCGCTGTGGCATAGCGGGTAAAGTCACCACCTGCAGTGCCAGCATCCCATATGGGCGCCAGTTCGAGACCCAGCTGCTCCACTTCTGATCCAGCTCTCTGCTATGGCCTGGGAAAGCAGTAGAAGATGGCCCAAGTGCTTGGGCCCCTGCAAATGCGTGGGAGAAGCGGAAGAAGCTCCTGGCTTTGGATTGGTGCAGCTCCAGCCATTGCAGCAAATTGGGGAGTGAACCAGCGGATGGAAGACCTCTCTCTCTTCCTCTCCCTCTCTCTCTGTGTAGCTCTGACTTCTTTCAAGCAAAATAAATATTTAAAAAAAAAAAAAAAGGTGGCATGTTCTACAGTCATTGCTGCTAGGTAGCAAGTTATAATTCTTCCACAACACAAGCAGTACTTTTGTAATAGAGAATGAGCAGTGTGGAGAGAGGGTCCACAGAAAATATTGTTGTTTAGGAGTATTTGTTGTAACCAAACCAATGAACATTTTGAATGTATCATCTCTGGAATATAGAAATATGTAAGCTTATTTTTATTTATATGAAAGAGACAGAAGAAATTTTCCACCTGCTGGTTCACACCCTGATTACCTACAACAGCAGGGCTAGGCCACGCCAAAGCTAGAAGCCAGGGATTCCATCCAGGTCTCCTACTGGGTGATGAGGACCCAAGTACTTAACCCATCATATGCTGCCTCCCAGGATACACATCAGCAGGAAGATGGAAGCAGAAGCAAGTCTTAATTCCAGGTCACCTCATATGGAATGTGAGCATCACAAGGGGTGCCTTAAGTCACTGTGCCCCAACACCCCCAACAAACTTAATTTTTAAAAAAAATTTTTTTAGATTTACTTATTTATTTGAAAGAGTTACACAGAGAGAAGAGAGGCAGAGAGAGGTCTTCATCCAATGGTTCGCTCCCCAACTGGCCGCAATGGCCAGAGCTGTGCCAATCTGAAGCCAGGAGCCAGGAGCTTCTTCCAGGTCTCCCATGCAGGTGCAGGGGCCCAAGACTTGGGCCATCTTCTGCTTTCCCAGGCCATAGCAGAGAGCTGGATCGTAAGTGGAGCAGCCAGGTCTCAAACCGGCACCCATATGGGATGCCGGCGCTTCAGGCCAGGGTGTTAGCCTGCTGCGCCACAACGCCAGCCACCAAACTTAATTTTTAAAGATTTTTATTTTATTTGAAAGGCAGAGTGAGACAGAGGGATAGATAGAAGTTTCCCATGTACTGCTCACTCCTCAAATGGCCACAGTGGGCCAAGCTGGAGCCAGGAGCTTCTTCTGAGTCTCTGACGTGGGTGCAGGGGCCTAAGCACTAGGGCCATCTGCTGCTTTCCCAGGCACATTAATGGGAGCTGGATCAGATGCAGAGCAGCTGGGACTCAAACAGGTGTCCATATGGGATGTCAGCACTGCAGGTGATGACTTAACCCACTATGGCACAACACCAGCCCTCCTGGAACTATTTTTTAATGCTGTATATTGTGTTGCATTCTTAAGCAGTTGTGTTTTTAAAGATAAAGCTCAGGGGTCAGCGACGCTGGCATCCCATATGGGCACCAGTTTGAGACCTGGCTGCTCCACTTCCAGTCCACCTCCCCAGCTAATGCGCCTGGGAAAGCAGAAGAAGATAGTCCAAGCCCTTGGGTCCCTGTACCCACGTGAGAGACTCAGAGGAAGCTCTAGGCTCCTGATTTCAGCCTGCTGCAGCCCAGGCTGTTGTGGCCGTTTGGGGAGTGAACCAGCAGGTGGAAGATCTCTCTATAACTCTGTCTTTGAAGTAAATAAAACTTAAAAAAAAAATAAAGTGCAATTCCTGATTCTATTTTGCAGTCCTCATTGATGAACCACCTAATTATTAACTCTGAAGCTACAATACACCCTTTTTTGGTAGTTATTCTTTCTATTCCCATGTAACTCATGATTCTCAAACTTGTTCTCACAACCTCGTGATGTTTTTAAGATGCATTGAAAGGGCCAGGTGTTGTGTAGCTCAGCAAGCTGCCACTTGCTATGCTAGCATCTCATAGCAGAGTGCCTGTTTGAGTCCAGCTGCTCTGCTTCCAATCCACCTTCCTGCTAATGCACCTGGGAAGGCAGCTGATAATGACCCAAGAACTTAGGTTTCAGCCACCAAGAGACCCAGATGGAGTTCCAAATTCCTGGCTTCAGTCTGGCCCAGCCCCTGGCTGTTGTGACCATTTGGGGAGTGAATCAACAAATAGAAGATCTCTATCTCTTCCTCTCTCTCTTAACACTCTGCCTTTCAAATAAATAAATACATCTTTAAAAATAAAAAGTGGGGCCAGCGCTGTGGCGCAGTGGGTTAATGCCCTGGCCTAAAGTGCCGGCATCCCATATGGGCGCCATTTCTAGTCCCGGCTGCCCTTCTTCTGATCTAGCTCTCTGCTATAGCCTGGGAAAGCAGTAGAAGATGGCCCAAGTCTTTGGGCCCCTGTACCCATGTGGGAGACCTGGAAGAAGCTCCTGGCTCCTGGCTTCAGATTGGCGCAGCTCCAGCTGTTGTGGCCATCTGGAGAGTGAATCAGTGGAATAACAATAAACTCATCACATGTTAACATACATAAAATACTTTTATTGAAAAATAACTTTCTAGATGAACTTTAGTGATGAGTGGTATTTATATTTTGCAAATATCCTGAATATTTGGTATTATAGAAGATGGTTGGATTCTGATATCTGCTTTTGCATTCAATCTCTTGTAATATGTTGTTTTGGCTGAAGAATATGAACAAAAGTCTGGCCTCACATCGATGTGTATTATTTGGAAAAGGGGAGGAGTGTATTGATAATCTTTTGGATAGCCTTTGATACTGCATTAAAACTCCACTGGAGATTAGTTGCAGTATGTGGAATATAAAACTATATCAAAATAAATGTCTTAATATTTTATACTTTGAATGGATCTTTTATTGATGCATGATTTTGTAGCATCGTGCAAGGGTTATTTGAACAATACTGCTTATCTCCTGAATGTTGACACATTTCATTATATATATTTTACAAATCCTGTTTGTTAATATAACTATCAGCCCTTTTTTTTTTTTTTTTTTTAAGATTTTATGTATTTGAAAGACAGTTACAGAGAGAGGCAGAGACAGAGAGGTCTTGCATCTGCTGGTTTACTCCCAAATGGCCACAACAGCCAGAGTTGAGCTGATCTGAATTGAGGAGCCAGGAGCTTCTTCCAGGTCTCCCACGTGGGTGCGGGAGCCTTGGGCAATCGCAATCCTCTGCTGCTTTCCCAGGTACATTAGCAGAGAGCTGGATTGGAAGTGGAGCGACTGGGACTTGAACCAGTGACCATATGGAAGCCAGCACCACAGGCAGAGGCTTAATATTACACCACGGCTCCGGCCTGAGTCTTACCTTTGCCAAGAATGGTGTCAAGCTGAACGTTGCTGACTTTGCAGAAAATGTCTTCCAAATACTTGGTGAATAACTCTAGGTTACCCGTTAGCTGTTGTTCCAAGTAAAAATGGTGTTCCATAACGAAAGCTGTTCACTCAGCTCAGAACTCAAAAAAATTACACATGTATTTTTTCTCAAAGCAAACATCATACCCAGAAGTGCTTCATGCATACATCCATCCATTTGATCAGAGAGAGTGGTATTATTAAAAATATATACACTGGGGCTGGCACTGTGGTGTAGCAGTTAAAGCCACTGCCTGCAGTTCCAGCATCCTATACGGGCACCAGTTCGAGTTCCAACTGCTCCACTTCCGATCCAGATCTCTGCTATGGCCTGGGAAAGCAGAAGGTGCCCAGGTCCTTGGGCCCCTGCACCTGCGTGGGAAACCCAGAAGAAGCTCCGGGCTTCAGATCCAGCTCCGGATATTGTGGCCATTTGGGGAGTAAACCAGCAGATGGAAGACCTCTCTCTCTGTCTCCGCCTCTGCCTCTCTGTAACTCTGCCTTTCAAATAAATAAATAAATGTTTAAAGAAATATATAGTTTCACAGACCTTCTTAAGTGAAACATATATGTTTTTACAGTGTCAGTACGTTTTATATCATTGCCTTGATTTGTGCTAAGGTAGAAGCAACTTTACCGTTACTTTTTTACCATCATGCAAATGTCATCACAGAGAGAATAGTTTTGATCGCAGTGGCTGCCTTAAAGGGTCTCGGTTATCCTCAGGGCTCCCTTCCCAAGCCACACTTTTGAGAACCACTGATCTAAAAACATGCTCAAAGCACTGAGAATTTGTTCCCCTTGAATGACTTTTCTGCCAGCAAAATTCTTCACCGAACAAAGCACCTTGATACAATCTCTTCTTCAAGAATTTTCTCAGAGGTTGGCAAGTAGACAATTCAGGAGTTACAAAGTAAGAACTTTGAATGGTTGTAAGACAACAAAGGGAGTACTCTGAGCTCTTGAACCACAGGACAAATCCTGACCAAAGGAAACCAAACCACTCCACATTCTCCCCTTCAGGCAGACCTCTTTGCCCTCAGAAGTCCTTTCACTGTTAACTTGGCCCCAGCCGCTGCGGTTTCCTCCCACCTTTGTTGTTCTTTGACTTTGGTGCTTCCCTGTCATACTTACATATGGTAGCCTTGAGCGACTGGAGCTGATCATGTATGTTTCTTTCACTTGTCCTTTTATGTTCACTTGCCTTCCCATGTGTCTGGTTACAACAGTGTTGGTGTTACACTGTACCCCGCAATTTATGCCACAGACTGACCAGGAAGGGAGCCTTTTGTAGAAAGAGCTGCTGTGCCGTCTCCATCCCCAGTCCCCTAGAAGTCCTTAGGGACCACTCCCAACTCAGTCTGGTTTATTTCCCAAGCCCCTGATCTGCTGAACTTTTTTAGTTCACCGGCGAAGTCCTAGTCCTCAGAGGGATTTCCATAAAACAGCTGAATCCCGCCTGGGTCATCAGTGGCATAAGTCCGACACGTGCTCGCCCGCCCGGGAGCCAATAGTAACTCACAAACGCTATCTTAGGAAGCCTCCCAGTGCCGTTGGCTGATTCTTTGGGAACGACAGCGTTAAAAAAAAGAGCAAGTATTTTCCCAGAACAAAACAAAAACAGGGTAGTGAGGAAGGCGTTGCCCCTTCACAGTATGGAGAGATGTTAAAGGTGGGCCACGAAAGGTACGTGTAAAACTCCCGTACTGTACCCCGGAATGACGGGCAGGGGAAAAGGGGGCGGAGATGGTCTCGGGGGTCTGGCCCTTTAAGGAGGAGGGGCGGACATAAGACTCTGTACCTTTAAGAGTCTCTTTGTCTGGAAACCTTCTTATTTACCCTCCTGTGCTTCAACCAAACTTCGTCCCGCGATTCACAACGCCGGTCTACGCCGCCGTCCCTTACGCCAGGCTCCTGCCGGCCGCGCGTTTGTGGCTGACCCTAAACTTTGCGCCCAGGGCGCGAACCCTCCTGGAGAGTCTCGGTGCCGGGGTCTGGGCCCAGCGCTGCGCCGTTGGCGCAATGCGGGGCTCGAGGGGCGGGGCTCCGGCGGGCGGGCCAATGGGCGGGCAGGGGGCGGGACCGCGTTCGGTTGTCTCGCGCCCTGGTGACAGCTCGCGCGTGCTGATGATGGCGGTAAATAGAGGGGGGCCCGGCGAGGGGGCGGAGGCGGTGGGCAGGCAGCGGAGGGGGTAGCTCCGGGGGGTGGGGGACGGGGACGGGGACGGGGAGGCCGCGACGGCCTGGGAGCCCATTCTAACACGCGGAGGCGGGGACAGGAGGCTCCGGCACTCCAGCCCTCCCCTTTAAAGAAGCAAAATCCTCACACACCGGGTGAGGGGCGACAAAGGCGGTGCGCGCCTCGCGGGCGGGAGGAGTGGCGGCAGGGGGCGGGACCGCGGCGCCGGCGGGCCGGGGGCGCCCGGGGCGGGGGCCGGCGGGAGGCGAGGGCGGGAGTAGGGGCGTGCGGGCCCTTCGTTTTGGCGGGGTGGGCTACGATTGGGTTTGGGGTACAAGCCTTGAGGCAAGAGCGGAGGGGAGGCTTGGGTGCTTCTGAGGGGAACCGGGCTAAGAATGAGATGAGGATTAAGGGGAGAAAGGGTTAGAAGCCAGGGAGAGCAGGAGTGAGGAAAAGCCAGCCCAGGAGGCACACAGCAGGGTGGGCGTCGGGGAAGCCCGGGCAGGGTTAGGAAGATCCGGGCTGGGCGGCGGGCTCCGGGGTTAGGTGGAAGCGCGGGGGTGTATCGAGGTGAGGGGTGCTGGGGTGGGAGTTGGAAGCGAAAGACAAGGAGGGGCAGCCCCGGGTTAGCAGTAGTTGGAGTAGGGAGAGAGAGAGTGATTAAGAGCCAGACGTGACAAGGGTGTGAACTAGTGCAGAGCGAGATGAGCTGAAGGACCGGCGGTGGGCTGGGGACCGCTGGCGAGGGTCTGAGAAAGGTATGGGTTAGGAGGTGGGCAGTGGGCGTACATTCTGGAAAGTGAGGGAGGGCGAATGAGACCCTGGACTGGAACCAGGTAGGGGCAGGAGTAAGAGCCTAGTGGAAGGGCGAGAGGCTGATGAGAGATGGGGTTTTTGTAAGACAATTCCGGGACCAGAAAAGCCGACAGAGTAAAGGTGTAAGAAGTGATGGCGGTCTGGGACCAGGGTAACTGGGGAATTACGCTAATGGAAAAGCTTCCCCGGGATCCACGGTAAAAAAAAAAAACAAAAAACAAAAAACAAAAAAAAAAAACAGGTGGGGAGAGGGCTACACGCAGTCGGCGAGAGGGGCAGGGTGAGATGGGCCCCCGCGTGTAGAGGATGAGGTGGGGGAGTGAGGCGGAGAACCGGGTGAAGGGACACTGGGGGAGTCCTGATGGATGTCGAACTCGAGTAGAGCGCGCAGGGCGGGAATCGAACGTGCGTGTGGCAGGGAGAGGCTCCAGAAGGCGTGCGAGGGTCAGGGCCGGAAGGCTGGCGTGAGGGACCCAGTGTAGGGAGCCCCTGTGCAGAAGAGGAGGAACCATGGTGAGTGAAAGGGGACCTAGAGGCAGGGGTGAACGCTAAAAAGTAAGGGCGGAGGCGGGGGTGGGAGGGATGCAGGAAAGGAATTCTTTGTTGGGAACTGTGTGTTGAAACTGTGAGTCCTTTTGTCCCTAAAAGTAGGAAATTCCAGAAACCTCTTTCTCTCTTCAAGGAATCTTAGATCCGCTTCCACCTTTAATTGCTTTTGATTCGACTTTCACGTCCACTTTGAAAACATGAGACCCATTTTGATTTGATTTCGTTCCTGTGTGAATGATCAGGCATGAGCCTGGGGTGTTGAAAACCTCTGCATTTCACCAGTGTTGTCATAATAGGAGAACGGGCTGTGTTTATTTACAGGGCGCCTGTGTAGTGTGATAGTTTTGGCATTTTAGCAGCATTGTACCTGACAGGCGCTTGGGCTGAGTGCTTTATCGACAGCATTTTCATCTTCCATGGAGAACATACTGCTGTTGGGATGGAGAAAGATGAGAATCTGTTTTGTTTCGATTAATCAACCAGCTTTCTGCTGAGTTGTTTTCAGTGGCTGGAGAATATTGAAAACTCATTTTAGAGAAAGGCAAATAACCAACCAGGGAAGTTTACTGGGAGAGAGATTTAAATCAGGGCTGTGAGGGTATTGAGCTCCTAAGCTGCCTTTAGCTTTGTGTGGGACGTCTCATACCATAGTAGAATTAGCAAAATGGAATGATGAGAGGGAGAATCATGGATTGGTGGGGAATTTTAGAGTGATGGACTTATCTCCTAGGTTAAACAATGAGTTTATGAGAAATTTTTATGAAGAAAATTCCCTGTAAGATTGCAAGCCTTGTCCGAGTGGAGGCTTGGACAGCTCCACTGCCCCCTTGTTTTATGGTTGTAAATAAAGAAGGATGTATTAATTACTATTAATTTTTCTAAAAGCGTTTGGTATTTAGGACACTTGGAAATTAAAAGGAAGATAAGAAATT